TACCAATCTCTGAGAAATAAAAAAATTGACTGTCTGACCGATTAGAATTTTTGCTGACGGACAACGGTAGAGGCTATGAAAGACATCTTAAATTGATGTTTGGTAGCCCAATATTGTCTTGGTGCCTGATTCAATAAAATGTTCTCTATGAACTTCTATTCACCGACAACCATCATCCGTTCAAAACGATGCAGCAGGTTTTTCTTGACAGTTGCGTAGATTTTGGTACCCTGCAAGATTAATAAGTTAATAATTTTAACAGAACAATCAAAAATATTAAAACAGTAGTGTTGAATAATAATAGGTTGTACCATTTCATTGGCCATGATGATTTCCAAAAACTCTCCACTCTTGGTTTGGTATTGCTTCCAAGTATGAGCACCTTCACCTGAACCTTCCACCCAGTCTTAAAGGGCTTAACGTCAGCTAATGGGGTTAGCTTCATTGTAGAAGACATACGAAAAATGCTAAACTAAAACAAAACAAAGATGACAACGAAATTTGAGGTCGAGTGTTTTGGAATAAGGGGTAGAAGTATTTATAAGAAAAACTATAGGGTTTATTACTAAGCCGTAAAATCGTACATAAATTGGCAGCCAAGAATATTCGTAACATTTAAAATTTTGAAATAGATATGCCAAATATCAAATAATGTTCTTTTTGTAAAGTAGGTGTAAATGTCTATATATACAGAGATGTGAGATAAACTGGATAATATTTAATCGGCTAATTGTATAATTTTAAAAATGAGTGCCTATTCCATTATTTCAAAATTTAAGAAATGTTATATATACTGTAAAATATGAGAATATATTGTGTTCAATGTATATGGACAAATAATTCAATGAGATACTTGATAGTTGTTAGAGTTGTATATCCTAATATAGTGCGTATTGTTGTATTTGGTAACAATTATTATTGGTATAATTAGTAATAAAGATCATGATAGGCCTAGGATTTGATGTAAATTTGATTCGAATATGTAATCTTGCAAATCTATTCAAATGAATTCGACATTTATTTAAAATTATAGTTTATCCGTAATAGTAGAATATTTTGTTTTATTTACATTTTAGATATAGAAAAAATAAAAAATTGCCAAAAATACAAAACGGGTCAACTTTGAAGATCTACATCCTTCTAAACAAGTCATTTTAAAAGGACTCGGATCCTTTTTGGTTTTGAGTTTTTTTTATCGTATAACTAGTTAGGCTGACATTTGATTGTTTGAAAATCTAATAGTAGTTTAGATTCATTTGATTTTATTCTTGAGTATACTGTTTTGTTTTTTTTTTGCATTTTAATATTGGAAGACATGTTCTGAAAACAGTATAGTATAGAAGAGAGTAAATAAAAACATAGTAGTAACCAAATAATTTAGTTTAAATAGTTTTGAGATCTTTTGATCACTGTTATATGCATTTTAGACGTAAGTTTTTGAAGTACCGTATGAACTTATTTGATTTTGATCACTGTTTTATGTGTTTTAAACATCACAAATACCGTCATTCTATAGTTAGATCTATATATATTTTTTTTTTCTTTTTTTACTTTTTTGTTATAGTTTTTTTTTTAATCTCATTTTTTTTTGTTTTAAAATGACATTCTATTACTCTGTAAATAGTTTCCATTTTTTGTTTCTTTTAATATTTTTGTTAGATTTTTTTCTAAATTTCGGTTATATATAATTTTAAAAATGGTTTGATTGACTATAAAATTAAACATTAAACCATAATAATTTAGGTTGGTTTGTTTTAAGGTTTTTTATATATTATCATACAAAAACCAATATAAAAATGACACATAATTGCAAAATATGACTAAACGGTCTTTATACAGTCAAAATTCATTCTAAAGCTGACACGTAAGCGAAATGCTATGAAAATCGCTGTGAGCGTGATACATAAGCAAATCACTACACAAATAAGTATAAAAAATCGTAAACACTATAATAGTTAGCGATATTCTATCATTTTTTTTTGAAACGACATTCTATAATTTTTTTAAGAAATTCCATTTTTGTTTCTTTTAACATTTTTGTTAGATTTGTTTTCTAAATTTCGGAAACATAAGAAATGGTAAACACTAAGAGATATATATTCTTTTTTGGTTTTTTTTAAAAAAAACGTTTTGTTTAATTTTTTTCTAAATTTTGGTTTTATATAATTTTAAAACGGTTAGGTTGACTACGAATTGAAACATTAAATCATTAAAATTTAGACCGATTTGTTTTAATATTTTTATTTACACATCATCAGTTAAAACACCAATAAAAGTTGTGGAAGAAGTAGTGAGAAGTGGCTTATATTTATACTAAACCATAAGAAATCGATGTCTGTTGTGAATAAGAAAGAGAGAGAAGAGAAGAGAGAAATTGTTGTATCTTATTCCATGAATAATCAGAGGTATTTATAGTTTACAAAGACTTGGAGAGGAAGCTAAAACCTAGAGAAAAAGGAAATAGAGAATATTCTAAACCTCCTCTAATAATGGGCTTCATAATGGGCATCCACATAATTATTCATAACACTCACCCTTGGATGTCCATTATAATGTAATAATAGTAAAGCGTCTAAAATGTTGCCTCATTAAAAACCTTACTAGGAAAACCCAATGGGAAAAACCATAGTTAAGGGAAAAAGAGTGCAACACGCTATTACTCCCCCTCATGAGTACATCATTCGAAATGCTTGAGAAAAATGCGATCCAAGATGCTAAACAATCTTCTTGAAATAGCGGTTGGAGACGTCTTGGTACATAAATCCACCAAATCTTCACTTGAAGGAATTTGCAATAGATGTTTATCACCATTGTGTTTTCAGTTGCCTCGTTAAAACCTTGTCATAGAAAAACCCAATAGGATAAAAACCATGATAAAGAAAAAGAGTACAATTATCATATATCTCCCTATGGAAGTATCTTGTCTGCTTCTGGCAGTTTGAATTCTTTTGAGACTAAATCAAGTCTCTTTCTCATTATCAAATTCATAAGGGATCAAATTAGTTGCATCCACCACAGAAAAATATAACTCTTCACATATTATCTTTATTTATCTTACACATAAAGATCCACTTATGTCTTACTAGTTTTGCAATTCTAAGTGTATGGACTACTGGTCCAAATAATTCTCTGCAAGAGATTCTAACTTTATTTTTACGGCTTTTCTATGATTGGCCAATCATCACTTAACATATGTTTTTCAAAACATCTTCTTATATATATACCGCGGTTTCTGATCCTCAATTCTCATCATCAACTGCTTTACTGCATGCAGAAATATTATCGACGTTGATTTGCTTTTAATTCCATTCATTTCAGACATGACTCAACTAGTTGAAATCTCTTATCATTACTAGGTACCTAGATTTCTTTCTTTCTCATGTCTATGTCTCTTCTGGAGATTGCTTCCTCGGCCTTGCCATTTTATATATGCTCTTTTTTCTTTTCCGAGGATTCTTATATATGGAACCATTAGGTCTATCACGCTTCATGCGATTTTTACCTAAAAGCAGTTGATATTGTCCATCCGGACATCAATATTAATTGGAGCACAGCTGGTATCACTCAACAGGGTCAGGAAATGCTTCTGGCATAACTTTTCAAATAAATTATCTTTTTAACTTTTAGTGCACATATTTAATGAGGATCAAGATAATTTTTATTCACTGATTTTCCAGCTGTTTATTTTCTTCTCCCCTTATAATTGTTGGAAAAACTGACTCACTGAAATGATAGTCTGTAAATCAAACCTTATTAAGGAAGATTTATATCCAACAATTTTTAACCTCCTTTGAGGTTCCATCTAAGATCAATGTGGTGGAGCAACATTATATCCAAAAAATTTTAGATGGGAAATATCTGGCTCCTGACCAAAACCAATCTTGGGAAGATTATTTGTTGGCTTAATATGAATTAATGTGGTTTCACTCTAATCAATTAACCAAATACTTTCGCAAAATATAATGGATGATCAGTCCAAAATATCTCTTGTATAAGTACCAGAAAATCAATAATTCCAACTTTATTGGAGAGTGAAAACCGAACACATAAGAATCTTCTGGATCTTATTCACATTATTATTTAACTGGAATGGCTTAACCAGTTATGCCAAAACAGTGAGACTTTAGTAAACTTCTGGTTTACTTATCATGATATATTCTAAATGGTTCTTGCAAAAATCAAATTTATATGAAAAAATGCAAAATTAACCACAGATAATTCGTGCATAAATACTACAAAGAAACAAAGTATAACAGTTTATGCATTGAAGAATATTAGTGGCAGATAATTCATATAGAAAAATAAATAGAATTAATAACAGATAATTCATGCAAAACTGGTAAATCATAAAAATAATTTCTTAATAAATAATTTAAATTTAACCATGTTTGATAAAACAAAGGAAACAAATAATATCATAGTGCAAAGATAAAATTAAATGAAGCCAAAAACAAAACAAATTCAAGAAAACCAAAACAAAACCAACACCATAGCTAAATCAAAGATTCCCTTCTGGGGAAATCATCAGCATCCATCAGACCATTTTCATCATCGTACACATAGTTTGTTTCCGCATGCCCTCCTTTTTGTTTTAATGACTCTTGATAAAGGTCAACAAGGTGCTTTGGTATACGACAAGTAAGAGACCAATGATCTTTTCCTCCACAGCGGTGACAAACAGTTGTTATTGTCTTTTCTTTGTTATCATCTTTCTTTTCGCATTTTTGGTGAGAGTATGATTTCTTGAAAGAAATACTTCGACCTCGACCTCGACCTCGACCAAAACCATATCCTCGTCCACGACTACGTCTACTCCCATATCCACGTTGGTAATCACTTCCTTCATCATCATGAGATACCACATTTGCTTCAGGCAATGGAGCAGAACCAGTTGGACGTAATTGATGGTTTTTCATCAGTAGATCATTGTTTTGCTCAGCTAGAAGGAGAGAAGATATAAGTTGAGAATATTTCTTATATCCTTTTTCACGATATTGTGTCTACAGGACAACATTGTTTGCGTGAAAGGTTGAGTATGTCTTTTCCAGCATATCTGCATCTGTGACTTTCTCTCCACATAACTCCAATTTGGAAGTTATTTTGAACATTGCTGAGTTATACTCACTCACTGACTTAAAGTCTTGTATTCTCAGATGTGTCCAATCATAGCGAGCTTTAGGTAATACCACATTTTTCAGGTGGTCAAACCTATCCTTCAAGCTACTCCAAAGAACTTCTGGTTCTTTTATGGTCAAGTATTCATTCTTGAGATCTACATGGAGATGATGGCGAAGGAAGATCATAGCCTTTGCTTTAGTTTGAGTGGTTGCTTTATTTCCCTCTTTGATTGCATCACCAAGACCTTCAGAGTCAAGGTACATTTCAACATCGACCACCCAAGATAAATAATTATCTCCAGAGTTGTCAAGAGCATCAAACTCAAGGTTGGTAATGTTTGGCATAGTTTTCTGAAATAATAAAAAAAAAAAAATCAAATTTCATGATAATCAACTAAGATGTAATTTTGTAAATATTATGTGCAAAATTCATTTAGAAATTCTGATTTAGAAAATATTTAATGTGCTAACAATTAAAACATGCACTAATTTATAAAATCCAACAATAACTCAATCATATGAAATTAGTTAGCATGATTTAATTAATAAATTAATATTTAAAAAACTATTCGATCATCTATGAAATTCAAGAAGAAAAAAAAACTTATATAATAAAATAATTTAACTGCCATGATTTATAATAATATCACCATAATTAAGAAAATTACATAACAATTTTTAATAAAAAAATCATCTAATTTTTAATATTACTTATATATCTTAAAATATTAGTTAATATAAAGTAATAATTATATATAAACCCTAGCGACAACTTATTTGCTAGACTTGACTAATAACTTTAAGTTGATCTCAAAAACATGTTTGCTTTACTAATCAAATTCTGGGTTTAATAAATTTTAGCAAAACTTTTGAAATAATAAAACATAAAAATCAATCGATTGATCATTCTAGATTAAATAAATTAGCAATAAAGTATATATCTCTTTAGTCAAATATATTTTGTCTATTGGATAGCAGGACTAGATTTTCAAAGTAAAAATAATTACTACCACACATATTCATAATTTAATTTTAACATTCGATTATGGTGGAATATGGAAAGACGAACTTATATAATATTATAATTGAATTGCCATGCACCATATGATTATGCATAATTAAACAGTAATAGATAGTGCTACGATCTGATATGAGAGATGTGCATGTGCATAATAGAAACATGATTAAAACAATACGAAGCATTAAGAATTGTGACAAAGCTAAAGCAATATGAGCGACACATACTAATAAAAGCAAATATGTGGCAACGTGATTTCATCCATAAAACCCTAATTGATTTTTAAAATTATTGCTTTATAAATTAAATCATTAGATAAGCATCAAATAATATTGATAACCATTCTCTTTATATAAATATGATCTGAGGAGACATAGTCTACCATATGATCATGATCAAGGAGGCATAGCCTACCATAATGATTGATTTGGAGAAGGTATTACTTATTATCCCAGAATAATATAAACATGAACATAAATTAAATCTCACATTTTCGGTGGAAAAACAAATGAAGAGACTATCACGCTGATCACGTGTTGTGAATAAGAAAGAGAGAGAAGAGAAGAGAGAAATTGTTGTATCTTATTCCATGAATAATGAGAGGTATTTATAGTTTACAAAGACTTGGAGAGGAAGCTAAAACCTAGAGAAAAAGGAAATAGAGAATATTCTAAACCTCCTCTAATAATGGGTTTTATAATGGGCATCCATATAATTATTCATAACAATGTCTAGATTTTAGTTAATAATTAACTTATTAGTTAGATTTATTTTTTTTCGAAGTTTTTTTTTTTAAAACGGTTTTGATTTTTTTTTCTTATAATTTTTAATCTAATTTTAAAAACGGTTTGATTGAGTATGGAATTAAGCATTTAACCATAATAATTTAGACGAGTTTGTTTTAATGTTTTTTTGACACGCCATCAGTTGAGAAGCAATAAAAAATGACACACAATTGAAAATAAGACTAAACGGTCTTTTGCGGCCTCAACTCATTCTGGAGCTGACACATAAACGAAAGACGGTAAAATTCGTTGTGAACATAACACGTAAGCAAATAACTACACATAAGTATATAGATATTTTTCTAATAGCATTCATTGTAATATTTCACATAAGACAGGAGTTAATTTCTAAATGTACTTCTTTTTAATATTATAAGATAAGATGTCTATTTAAAAAAATTATGGTAAAAAAAATGTATAATAAAGAGATTTTGCAAACCACACAACGAGAATAATCTGAAAGGCTGGATGTAAATCGTGGATACAGCTTAAACCCTAAAAACCTTATGGGTAATCCGCCTTCAAAGAAAAGAAAAAACGGACAGTCAAATACGACCTAGAAGATCAGATCTTATTATCCCCACGAGCCATGAGGAGAGTTACCGGACTCGCTGCGCGCACAATCTCATCCTCCGTCGCCATCCATCCACGACTCGCTCAGACCACAGTGATGATGACCACGATTTCATCGTCCGAGCCACCCTCTCCGAGATTTGGTGGTCTACCAACGCCGTCTATTGCCGGAGGAGTGGCTGGGATTGTGTTCTTTTCGGCCGCTGCGGCATCGTCTCTTTGTCAGGAAGTTCACGCCAAGGAAACCTCGGGGCTGGCCCAGAAATTCAACCCTAAAGAAGTGGTCCTGTATCAGTACGAGGCATGCCCTTTCTGCAATAAGGTCAAAGGTAAATCCTCTCACGCCGATTAATCTGGAAATGTTTGGATCTGATCATCTTTCGCTGTAAATGGATCTGATCGATTATGTTGAACATACTTGAGGTTTTTGATGGAAAATTGATTCAGTTGTGTGATTCCTTAAGAAATTAGTGATTTACTCATGTCTCTATTTTGCTTGTATGATATTTGGGCGTTCGTTTACCCTCTGTAGCGTTCTTGGATTTCAATAAGATTCCATACAAGATTGTTGAAGTGAATCCCATGTCTAAGAAAGAAATAAAATGGTCTGATTACAAGAAGGTTCCCATCCTTACTATAGATGGTGAACAATTGGTTGATTCTTCAGGTTTGTCCATCTTCTGTGTCTAACCTATATTCTTCTTTCCAGAACCAAATGTTCAGCTTAGCTGAGTTATCTTTATTTGTATTGGCAGCGATAATCGATAGCTTATTCCAAAGGATGCACCCTGAAATCTTAAAGTCTAATGATGATGAAGAGACGAAATGGCGCAAGTATGATCATTTTTTTGTTTTTTAATTTAGTGACCAAAACTGGTTTCTAGTTCGAGTTCTGTGACACCACAGGACCTGAGTCTGATAATAAATCTACCTGTTATAGGTGGGTTGACAATCACCTTGTGCATCTTTTGTCACCAAACATATACAGGAATACTTCAGAGGCTCTGGAGTCCTTTGACTACATCACTACCCATGGTATAGTTAGAGTCGAGTTTGGTTCTGTTTTTTTTTCCCTTCATTATATGCTCACTTCGTAGTTATATCATGTCAGAATACATGTGTGAGTTAGTATTGTAACCAGATGAGTTCTTGAGACTCCCAGGTTTTTATAATCATAAACATGTTGGTAAAGCTTTTGTAGGAGTCTATATCTTGTCTAAGTCGTAATATAATGCTCTAGATTATCATATGCAGGAAATTTTAGTTTCACGGAAAGATTAGTGGCAAAGTATGCAGGAGCAACGGCAATGTACTTTGTGTCAAAGAAACTGAAGAAGAAATACAACATTACAGATGAACGTGCGGCTCTTTATGAAGCTGCTGAGACATGGGTTGATGCCCTGAAAGAGCGTCCATACCTTGGTATGTGCAACTTTCAACATAATACTGCATAACCTTAGTCACCACTTTCTTGATTGGTTAATGATTCTAGCCTCCAATTTGCAGGTGGGTCGAAACCTAATTTAGCTGATCTCGCAGTATTTGGTGTTCTGAGGCCGATAAGGTACCTTAGATCGGGTAAAGATATGGTGGACAACACACGCATAGGCGAATGGTACTCACGAATGGAGAACACAGTTGGAGAGCCTTCAAGGATCAAAGAGTAAAAGATCTTTGCTCTACATCTCTAGTGAAAATATGAATTGCATAATGTATCGCTGATTTCACGGCGTAACAATTTTAAGCTTTAGGACTAGAGAAAGAAAAAGAAAAACAAAAGGAATAAACATCTCTTCTTGTGAATGGGGGATTTAAAGTACTGTGCATGCCTGGTTTGGTCACTACTGCTATTGCCAAAAAGTCGTTTCTTTGATGTCTTCCTGTTTTTTAAAATAATCAATGATCTCTTTTCTTTTGATTAAATAAATATTCATAGTTATACAAGGGGGAAAATTGACCAATTCCTACCTGAACTAAGAACTTATGTTAATCTGAGACACGAATTTGTAACCAGTGCAAAACAAAATTGAACTTCGGACGAATTTGAATTTCATTTCTAAACTTTGTTTTCTGTGCTTAAACCTGTATTCCGTTAAACATCGTTAAGGATCTGTCAAATAAAGAAACCTACACATTGTTTTAAGAAGCCGTGAATTGAGTCGTTTTAAAGTACAAATGTCGTTTAGTATATGGACTTTTTACTACATGTCAAAAGCGAATTGAGACTGAAAAAAACATCTATTTCCCAAAATTTAGAGACACACAAACACAGAATAAAAAGACACTCGATAATCACTAACCCTAACTTCTCAAAGAAACATCAACCTCGAAGAATCTTGAATCGTCTCTAACAACCCAAAAATAGATTTTGAAATCCCTAGTTCGTCTCCTTCTGAACTCCCTAACTCAACCCAAAAATAGATTTTGAAATCTCTAGTTCGTCTCCTTCTGAACTCCCTAACTCAAGAGGTTGAAGAGAAAGGATAGACAAAAACAATAATTAAAACGACATAATAAGAAGCCCAAATATTAACAACATCGTTTTGTGCTTTAAAATGACTTATTTCGTGATTTCTTAAGATGATGTCGCTGTTTATGTGTAAGCCACGTAGACTTCATTTAACGGATCTTTTACAGTGTTTAGCGGAATGTATGTTTAAGCAGAAAAAAAAAAGTTTAGGAATGAGATTCATATTAATTAGAAGTTCAAGTTTGTTTTGGCACTTGTTACAAATTTGGGTCTGAGATTAACATAAGTTCATAGTTCAGATCGGAATTAACCAATTTGCCTATAAAAAGGCAATAAACTACATGTGTAAATGATAATTACTCGGCTTATTCGTGCCTCCATTGCATATTTTGGTACCAATTAGTGCCTTTACTTGAGGGTGGGTATTTGGATATTCGGTTCGGGTTCGGATCGGGTATGTCGGGTTTCAGATATTTCAGATTTAGAAGAATTGGAACTGATCGGGTTCGGTTCAGATCGAATCGGATATTGTAAATAAGTACCAATATTCTGGATATTATTCGGTACCGGTTTCTCAAGTACCCATAAAATCCGAAAGTATCCAAAAATTAAAATTACCTGAAAATATCTGAAAAACTGGAAACACCAATGAAAACATGGGTTTTATTGGGGGGGGGGGGGAAGAATTATTTCATCTTGTACTACTTTCAACCAAGTTAGAGAAGATGCTTTTAAAATAGAATTTGTAGACTAGATTATTGTAAAAATTAGAAGGTATATGTTATGTATCAAAGTCTTTCAAACATGTTGTTGTGTTGTTTTGGTATTTATAACTGAGATTCTTAAGAGAACTGTTTAGAAAATTTAAAACATGGGTTTTATGGGGGGAGAAATTGTTTTTTCTGGAGTCTTGAAAGAGTAACAACAATTTTAAAGTAATGGAAGATTGTATATAGGGTCTGGTTTTTCCATTGCCCATTGGAATGCCTGATATACATGACTGATAAGTATTCCTGGTGAGTCATTTCTTCTATTGTATGTTCTTTTAAATTTTTGAATAATTGCAGGCTTATAGTCTATTCTTCTATTATATGTCACCCACTTTAGCAAACAAATGTCCAAACTTCTTTATGAATGCATTGTTTACTGATTCTAAAGTAATAGAAAGTTGTATATAGAGTCTGGTTTTTTTTCATCGGCCACTGGAATGCCCGATGTACATGACCAATGAGTATTCCTAGTGAGTCTCTTCATGTTATTTTAGATTTTTGAAAAAATGCAGGGTTTGTGTCTTGTTGTATTGTATGTCACCCACTTTAGCAAACAAATGTCCAACCTTCATTATGAAAGCAATGTTTACTGATACTAAAATAATGGAAGATTGTACATAGAGTCTGGTGAGTCTAGGAATGCTCAATGTACATGAGTATTCCTGGTGAGTCTCTTCTTCTAATTCTTAAAAAATTCTGAACGATTGCAGGGTTTTAGTCTCTTCTTCTATTTTATGTCACCCACTTTAGCATTCAAAAGAAAACGGACATGTAACACATGTGCATTTGAATACATCCAAAGTAAAAGAACCAAATACCAACCTGAATCATCATTCATAACTGAAAAAAAAAAAAATTACATGCTTAAGAAAACTTAAAAAAAAAAACAACTTCAAGATCATAGCATTCAAAAGAAAACAACCATAGCATTCAAAAGAACACAACCAAAGTTCACATAGCCTTCAAAAGAAAACAACCATAGCATTCCAAAGACCATAACATTCAAAAGAAAACTAAATTCAGGATCAGTTCACAAATCTAAAAAAAAACCCATAGAATACAAAAGAAAACAAGCTTCTTTAGTTCTTCTTATCCATGTCTTCTAACTCGGGCTAAGGAGAGTATTGAACTCTGAAAAATCTGAAAAGAGTTAAGAAAAGAGAATGTTACCAGTTCATACAATTTAAGTGAGAATGTTTATCAAACTAAACCGTTGATAGAATCTAAACATAGATCAAATAACATCATACACTGATTGATACAGCTCCTTGGATTCTGCACTTTCTCGACCATAAGTTCTTTCAAAACAAGCCTTAGCAAACTAAATTTTATTGGTTGGATCTAAGATACTAGCAACAATAATCATCTTATTGATGTTTTTAAATCCTTCCCAATACTTGTCAAATTTGGCAAGCATCTTCTTGGCCTTAGTATTCAGCACTAGGTCCGAAGTGTAGCTCAGTTTAATTAAATTTCTCTTTTTAGTCACTATCTCTCCATAGCACTTCTCCGAGCAAATGGTCTTAGAATGATATATTCATAAATTGCATCATTTAATGTACATATTCTAGTCCAAATTATGTCTCATTTGCATACATTTTAGGTTTTTAGGCATTGTTTTAGGACTTAGGAGATTGCATTAGGTCCAAGAGAGTTTTGCATGGTTTGGAGTGCTAAACAGGTGCTTTTGGAGCTTATTTGGAGTGGAGGATGTGATTCAGATGAAGAAATGGAGTTGAAATGATCAAAAATGGTGAAAAGGAGCAATTTTGGGTTTCTAGGCAAAATGATGTACTGATGGCCGAAGATTCTCGGCCAAAATCCTTCCCGCGGATAGCTTTCTCGGCCAAAAACACGTACCGCGGTCAAGTCTCTCGGCCAAAAATCCCGGGTGCAGATACATATCCGAAATCGCGTCACCGGAAGCTCTTGCCGGCCGATTCAGCTTACAGGGTCTTCAGCAAAGTTGGAGATAATTGAGTCACGAACCCAGGACAGGTTGAATCAGGGCATTTGGAGCACTGAGCGGAAAGATACGGTCACCGGAAGACAGACCTCTCTCGCATCCATTCCGGAGCAATCCGATACTCCTGAATGATCGCCTGTCCGGGAAACCTTCCGGTCCGATTCAGTTGTCGGGGGCTTCATCAAAGTTGGATTAGATTAGATCACGGTTCCAGAACAAGTGGAATTATGGAATTCGGACACGTGAGAAGAAAGTTAAGCTCGTCGGAAGAAACTCCTGTCTCGCTGCCGTTTTGGACCAAGCCGATGAGCTCCGAAGAATGCGAAGGACAGTGCACTTTCAGATCGATTCGGTTTCTGGGGCCTTCATGGAAATCAGAGATATTTGAGTCCTCGTTCCAGAACGTCCAAGATCATTCAATTCGGAGCTATGAGCAGGAAGATACGGTCTCCGGAATGGACACATGTCTAGACGCCTCTCTCTGATCGTGTAAATGCACTGCGAAGATGAGCCCTCCAGGAAGCCTTCCACTTCCCAAGCACCGAAGCTTCCTTCACCAAAGTTGTATATAGATGCGTCCTCTCTTCTCTACAACCGGAATCACTCAATTCGGACAAGTATCTTATGAGTTACACTCTCCGGAATGCGAAGTGGTCCAGACAGCCCAACCGGAATCACTCAATTCGGACAAGTATCTTATGAGTTACACTCTCCGGAATGCGAAGTGGTCCAGACAGCCCTGAATGATGCGAGCTAAGTGAAACATGACACGATCTTCATGCCACGTTCTACACCTGACCGTGGCAAACAAACACTTGGCTGGGAGGAACTTTACAAGCATTCGGGTTTTGACACGGTTTGAATGCCACGGTCTAGGACTTGACCATGGCAACTTTTACACACCTTCGGCTTTTGACACGACCACTTGCCACGGGGCTTTACCAAGAGCTACTAGACCGTGGCAATCCAAGAAGTTCATCACCCAAACCCAGAAAAGAAGAGACACGGCCACTAGACATGGTGTAAATCAAGCCATGGCAACCTTGATCATGAAGAATCTGTCCAAGAACTTTGACACTATCAGTTTGCCACGGTCAGTTTGCCACGGTCTGTCCAAGCATCATCTGACCGTGGCAAACCACACCACTATCCATCAAAGCCGGGTCAGGACCCAGTTTGTCCTGGGCTGACCCGGTCCGCAAGAGACACTATATATGCTTTTTAGGTTTTTTTCCAAGACTGAAGCTTTGTTTTCTCTTGTTTCTCTTTCCTTTTTAGTGTAAAAACGAGTTTGATTAAGAGATATCTAAGGGATTTGATCATTCCAAAGCTGTTTCTCATCATCTCATCATCTCATTTCTGCTTCTAATCATGATTAACATCATCTCTTGCAAAAGATTAGATGTGTTCTTCATGATTAGTGAGTAGTCATCTTTTAAACTTCTAGGTGTGTAGATTAGGGTGCTTAGATGTTTGATTTGTGATGTTTAGGGTCTAGATTCTAATTTCATTTCCTTAGTTAGCTGCTCTTAATGCTAGATCTCTCATTATAAGCTTGATCTAGAACTTAGGCATTTCTCCACCCACAAAGTGTTTGATGAAATGCCTGAAAGAGCTAACTTAAGGGTTTATGCCTTTTTCATCATGGGAATGATTTGTTAAATGCA